AGGAATGCTCTCCTGATAGGTAGGTTTTGCAATGAGATCACAGGATCTCGTCAACTATCTTGCATTTCCCTTCTACCTCAGAATGGAGCCTCAGTGCTTTTTATGCTGATGTGTTACAACATTTTCACTGAGCAGAAATGGAGAAACTGGCATATCAGCCAGTCCTAGTTCAGGTACATCCATTCTCTCATGAGATAAAGGTGCTACTAATTGATCTTTTCACCTCTGTATAATAAAATTATGACAGCAGAAAAATTGTTTCCTGCAAGCAAGAAAAGTCAGACCCATAAAGATGAATGGGGAAAGGAAATCAACTGCAATTCATCTCTCCCAATCTGCAGATTTTAGAGGGTTTTGCTTCATTTTCTCAACTAGCCCTGAACTCAACATCACTTCTTCTGAGTCCCATACTCCCCATGCTAGGACAAGCAGATGGAAGTTAGTTACCTTAGTCAGGGTCCTGTTGGGAGGCACTGGCCTGATATCAAACTGCAGATCTGTTGTCAGAGGCAGCCCAAAGCTCCAGCCACCATACCTGGGTGAAAACCAGAGGGAAATGGGTTGCTACCCTCATTCAAAAGTTTCAGTATTTAGCCTGGTACATGTTAGCATGTCACCTCACTTAACTCCAGCCTGACTTAAAAACTTACCCCAGTAGGTAGTGTGCAGCCAAGCCAGTGGTGCTGCAGGAGCCCTTACTTGGGGGAGACAAAAGGGAAACAGAAACTTGGCAGCACTATCACAAAGCTGTGCTGAAAGCCTCCATTTGGGAAGCACTTTGGAGCTGCATGGACTCCTAACATGCCTGGCTACCACACTGGAAAAAGATGACTGCTTCTTAGCTAGAAGAGCAGCTCAGTTTAAATCAGTGGCAGGTGAACATGTACCCTGACAACCTTAATGGCAGGCTGGTTTTGCCCCAGGATGAGCTGTGTTGCAGGATCCAGAAACACTAATAGCTCTAACAGTCCCATGGTGCAAGAGGTGTTCAGCCTCTAATTCCACTGGCATGGATGCACTTGTTTAAGTGAAGCACACACTGAGGCTCTTCAGAGAATCAAACTTGGAGGAAAGTTTGGGGGAAAGTTCCCAGGGTTTAATTCATGACAGGTTGTGTCAGATTTTCCTCTTTGTAAGCATGTGAGACAGATAAAGGCTTGTCTCCTGATCCAGCCATCAGCCTATCAGGTGATTGACATATTATCCCTGTTATGATCAAGCAAAGCACTTGCACAAACCTTTAACTCCATGACTGCAGGACATTTGACCTCCTTCCACCAGAGTCACAGTGACCACCAGCAGAGTGGCCCTTCTAAATCCCTACTGCACTGCCACCACTTCAAGCACAGCAGATAGGATACATTTAGGAGGCTGCTCCCAGTGCAATTCAGAAGGAGATTTATGTGGTACCTTTTCTGCAGGAAGTCTTTGGCAGTTGCCAGAATGTAGGTCTCCACATTGTGCCCTGACAGGTTGTAAAGCGTCCGTGTGGAGAAGGTCCTTCTGTGAGGGGGAGTGTAGTTGGTCTGTGGACATGTCTGAGCAGAGACAAGTCAACAAAAGGGTTAGTGTCTGTTTTGACTAAAAACTAGTGTAGCAGGACAAGGTTGGGGGCTGGCAATGGCAACGTTCTGGGACTGAGTCCTGCAGAAGCTGATGGTTTGCAAATCAGGGTGCAGAGGCACCTGCTGTCCTGAACTCACTTAGCAAGGAGCTTAAAAACCATCTTTGCTTCAAGCTACCAGACTTCAGTTCTGCTGCCATCAGTGAGGCCTTGAGATGTGCTGCACCTAGGGAGGTTTCTGCTGAATCAAAGCTGATCCTGCTTGGCACCACCAGAGTGCTGCACAGGCAACAGCAGAGGGCAAAACAACTCGCGGAGCAGAAAACTCTTGATGGCCTCAAACTCTCATCTTGCATTTCACAGCAGCTGTGGTCTGCTTTTTCATTTTACTGACAGTCACTGGGAATATTTTCCCCAGCTTCAGAGAAACCATGGATTAGTCCTGATTAGATAATCTAACAGGTCACACCCACCTGTCACCAGGTTGAAGTGTCCTACCAGACAGCAAGCTGGCTGCTTCTTTCAGCTCATCCATAACAAAAGCCTTGGCCTCCCCCATTGTGTTGCTGCTCATCACTTTGCATCAGAGGACACAAAATAGCTTCCTTCATGCTGAGGAACACCTGCCTGTGCCTGCTAGAGCTGAGACTCAGCTTTGAACATTAGCCTGACTTACCAGAGATACTATGCCAATACTTTTAGTGATGTGAAATTAAGTTTATGTCCAGAAAAAAAACATATAAAATAGCTGCCTTTTAGGGACCGACTAGGAACATTCAACTTACATTACAAATGGCATCACACTGTGCTTTGAGTCTGATTTCCTACTGAAAAAAAAGCTGAAGACCAGTGCAGAGCACTGGAAGGAGGAGAGCTTAACTGCAAACTGGACAGTAAACCTACTGTAACATCACTGGGGCAGAATCTGCCTTTTCCCCAAGTGCATGTAAGGACACCAAGCCCAGCAGTGCCCATGTCTGGTTCTGCATGTACCAATGTAATGCAAATAACTAATATTATTAATCATCACTATTCATAATAAGGAGCAGAGTAAAAGCAGATGGACCTAGACTTTGCATAACATTAAATTCTGAAGAGCAAACAGCAATAATAGCTGTGCTTTCATATAATGACAGTGCTTGTATAAAATGCAATTTTCCTCTTGAATACATGTTCACCTCTGCTAAATGGGACAATCATACAACACTCAAACACTCTGTTAAATGTTTTCCCACCACGGGGAGGAAGGCAGATATACTAGTCTGTGAATCTTCTGAGGGTGCTGTTTCCTTCCCTGTCTCCAAACTGGAGCACACAGTGATTATCCAGTGTACAAATTAACAAAGCCAAAAAGAGACAGGAGGAATCTGAACCCTGAGCACCCCCTAGTATCATTCTTGCCCACAAAACCACTCCCAAACTACAAAGCCCCCCAAAAGGCCCCCCAGGCTCCCTCTCTCTTGGGTTTATTCAAATTACCTGGATGCCATCTGTGCAGTTGCAGGCAGAATACTTAGTCCTCTGGCTTCCACTGACAATCCATGGGCCCAGCATGTCCTCCTTTAAACACTGCCTGAAAATGAACACATTTTCCTCTGAGGTTCTCTATGCTCAGGTGGACAAACGATGCTAATTGCTGTCATGTTTAATAACAGCAAGGATGGCAGCAAGAAGCTTCAGCAGAAAAGGAGACCACCTTGTCAGCTCTGGGTGCTTGAGGGAATACCCATGCTCCAGCTGCCTTCAGAGCTGGTCAGGAGAGAGCCAGCCCTGCTCTGCTCTCTGTGCCTGGATTTGTTCAGCTGAGCAGGAGGAACCCAGACACCACTACATCCCTGTGGCAGGCAGTGGAAGGAGTTAGCACACAAAGGCCAAAATCATCTTACTGTGCAGAAATAAGGGCTGTTGGCATTGCAATAACTGGGGAGTCCTGTGATGGACTGTATTGACCAGGCAGTCACTGTAAATACTCAGGATAAATATTTGCCTGCAGACAGGCAGCACACGCACTAGTCTGTCCAGGATTTTACTACCCATTCCTTGAAAATTTATCTGCAGAACCCGAAACAAACCAGTCCTTATGGCACAGCTTTTAGATACAGATAGCAGCAGCTGTGCTAAGAACTTTGAGGGTGGGCTCAGTGTTATAACTGGGATTCTTGGGGAGGCAAGGACTGTTTCCCAGACAGAACAGCTTGCTCTCCTCTGGGCATCCTTATGACTCATAGTAACGAAGCAGTCCAGTTGTGGTCCTGAGTATTTCTTGAAGAAAAGGACACCAGTTTCAAGGTTCTGGGGCTGTACAGAATTCCCAGTCTCCACTTTAAAGCACAATCTAGTTTCCTGTTTTCAGGAATACCTCCAGTTCTGTGCTGGCAGACAGAAGCCTTTGCCCCAAGCTGCACAGGAGCCATGCAGGCTCTCGGCAGGGCTGAGTGTTTCACACCAATCATGGCTACACAGCTCCCTGCTCAAAACTGACTTGCATCCCACCAGCTCCCATCAGGGAGCAACACAAGCTTGTGCCTGCCTGTAAAAGGCCAGTTAGACATCTCCTAATGAGCTGAAAGAGTCTGCAAGTCCATCTGAAGAGAGGCAGGAGATGCGTGGGTTTTTTTTCTCTGCTTGTGGCAGCAACGTATGAAAATTCTGCAGGTGATCAAAGATGGATGTTAAGGTCTAATGGTTAATAGCCTTATGTCAATTCTCTTGCATATTTGGAACATAAATGGAAGAAAATCAAGAGCTACTTACAAATTGCTTTGATTCATGCACGTGTTATCTGTTCCAGGGAAAGCAAGCATTGAAGCAACTAAAGCTTCTGTGGTTTCATTAAAATTCCTAAGATTTAAGAAAGAAAAAGAGAAAAGTGAGAACAGAATAATGTTCAAAGTGCTTCCAGCTACCACTGAGCAGAGGAAAAACTGTCTGAATGAAGCAAAATTTAAGATACTAAATAAATGGTTATTTGTGGTGCTAGCCCTACAAACCACTTAAGTACATGCAGCACATAAGCACAGACACAGAGGTTTGAAAGGTTATTCGTGTGCTCACTGCTTAGAGCTGCACACACCTACTGCACTGATTTGCTGCCTTCAGATTGAAGCACAATAATGCTGAACTTTTGGACAATCAGGATTTTGGTTCCAGGCTGAAAGCATCTGCAGCAATTCTCAGGCATTGCTTCCAGTCTTGTCTCAATCCGCTCTCTCATCTGTGAAGTCCATTTGGTTTTGGTCATTCAAGAAGATGCTTTGTGCTCCTGACCCAGCTTTCTAGCAATGATCCGTCAGGAGAAGCAGAGAACATGAGGAACAGAGGGCTCAGAATTCCCCCATCTAGCAGTACTGAATCAGAAAGGCAGGGGGAAAGAACACCTAGGAGCAGACATGCTTTAGGGCTTTTATATTTCTGACTTAAAGCTGAGAACCACTGGAGAAAGACAACAGTTCAAATCATGAAATCAAAATGATAGAAATGATAATCATTTTGGTCAGTAGATTTTTAAGCACAATGACAACATTCAGTGCTGGTGTCTTAATCACACTGAAGTAGTGTGTGTCCTTCAAAGGACTGCTTGCCTTGGGCTAGTGGGGCCTGGGCAGGAGAGCATGTCTGACACCACCAGAGAGGAGAGTGATGCAAACAGTTCACAAAATGGATAGGATTTGATCCCAGAGCTGTAGTGTTGGAGACAACTGATGTGGGACCTGTGCTTAACATCCAGGGGAAAAAAATAAATGTAGATAAAGAAAGTATCTCTGGGACAGAATGGCTTTCACAGTGCCAGAAGACTTCCATGGCAAATACAAATCCTATTCTTCATGTGCTCCCCACTTCATCCCAACTGAGAGGCTGTTTTTCTAAAGCTTTGTGATTGCTGCTCTGAGCCAAGACACCTCTCCCAGCTATCCCTTAGGAAAAGGACTTCTACATGTTATCTGCTAACATAACTGCACAGGTAACTTCATTTCATGTTAGCTAACACTTTCCGTGGCTCTTTATAAACACATGGGTTTAAGGATCACAAAGAACTTCACTCACCCAAAGAAATCTGCCTGGTCGGCCGTGCCGTACAGAGAGGGGGAGAGGACCAGCTCAGGATATTCAGTCTCCTTAGTTCTCAGTGTCCCAAGTCCCATTGCAGCCATCACAAAGAGGACTGGGAGGATGACCTGAGCAATGAAGCCTCTGACATCCCTCCGGGTGTGGTGGAACCTCTTGATGAACAAAGCTGATGTCTTCTTAAGTAGCAAAGGCAACCCCTGCAGGCTTTTCGATCTGATCAGGAGCTGGTCTGGGTGCAAAAGAAGAAGACACTTTGTCACAGACCTGTGTTTGTGAAATGCAGGGAGAACTGATGGTTACAGTACCCTGAGAGTACATTTACACCCTTCCTTACCTGCACTCCTTTACAGATGCCAAATCAAAACTCAGTTGGAACATATGCAAAGGGGTCAGGCTTGGGACAGGACTCAGATTTTGACTCTTGAGTCTTAAGCTCATGTACCATCAGTCTTTTTGTTTCATTTAAGATGTGTATATGTAGTGAATTCATTTGAGATTTTTGTGAGAGGAACACAGGCCTTCAGATGCAACAAGTTATCTACGTTCTACCTACCCAGCTGCAACTTACAGGGGAAACATATTACTCTTTTATATTTGCAAACTGAACACTTTCTTATTTTAGAAAGCAGGTCCTCAGACAAATGAATAAAGGAATTAATCCTGAAATAAGAAAGCAAGGCACACAAACCAGTTGATATTTTACACAGACAAGTTTGTGGAATACTAAAAGCAGAGGCAAATCCAGTGGAGCCTATTCCTCTTTATGAAATATTGATCTATACAGCCAAACATGAAGCAAATATTTTTCATTGCTCTCATTAGGAGTGACACAAAACACTTCTCTCCACATGAGTTACTGTTTACAGTAACATTTACAGTGCAGGTCAGCTTTGAGAAGCAAGTATGAAAACACCACTGTGTTGTCCCTTGGATGCCTCCATAACTATAAATGGTGTATTTATAAGCACAAAACCCATTTTTCCTCAGAGCATTGAAACCAGGTATTTGCTTATTTTTGGACCCTAACACTTTTTGCAGCTCTCAAACCCCCAGAGATACTGATGTAGCTTGATTCTCTTCTGAAGGGGAATTTATCCCTCTGTCTGGCCCTTTGAGCTGTTTCACCATTCTGCAAGAGCTGGGACACAACATAAAAAGCAACAAGCAGCCAGCTCAGAGCTGTGCTGCTTTTGCAACAGGCTATGGGGGTTTCCACAAAGCTTCTCTCCAATTCTACCAGTTAGTTATGTAGAAATAATCCTCCAGATCAATTACAATTACTTGTAGAGGAATGCATTTGCTTTTTCACCCATAGACTGTATTGGATTAGATTAAAACCTGGATCAATTTAGAGGAATTCAGATGCAAACAAACCCTCTCTGTCATTTATTTTGTGATTCAGACTATTCCAAACCAGTGGATCTAAACAAAATGTTGAGTGTTGTACTTCTAGTGATCCAGTGATTCCTGGTTGGGTGAAATGTGGTTTTCAATAAAGAAAGTGGACAGGGACCTCAAATCAGTCCATCTGTCACCATTTGTATCTGCAGCAAATCTGGAATAAAACTTAGAGGTAATTTAGTACCATCTCTTTCTGTGAAGGTATCTGTGCTCACAGACATTCCATCACTGCCAGTTTGACCACTGGCTCCAGGCAGCTGTTGGAACAGCTCAGCATCTTCCTGCTGGTCCTTCCCTAGCTCTTTTGTCAGGTTGAGAAACACCTATGGGACAAGGAAATATAAAGCAATATTGGTCCAAAGGAAAAACAAAAAAAATAAGTAAAAGGAAAATTGCCTTCATCCTGGCTCAAACCAGGACAACTCCCTTCACCAAACCAATAATCAGAGTCCACTCTCCCACACTGTAAGCTGTAATTGGTGCAGCAATTGTAAACTACAATCCTTTTTGTTCCCTCTGTGAAAGAAAGCACCTTTTTTTTTTCCCCACTATAAAATTGTTGTTGTCCAGCTCCTCATCAACTCCTGGCTCTACTCTTGCTGCAGCAGTGGAAACTTCAACCTTTGCAGATGCCCCCTGGATTGCTCTTACCCTAATGTCATTGATAATGAGTAGGTGTAAAGGAAGCTGCATTTCAGCTCTGTCCTACATAGCTCTACCACACCCACACAGTGAGCACAGCACACAGACAGCTCTTCCTGCACAGCAGCAGTGACAAAACAAGGAGGGTTGTTTCCCTGGGATATTCTCCCCTCTAGTCTCTGTGACAATCCTGGCTGGCACCTGAGCTGCACTTGGTATGTGCTGTGTAACTCATCCTTGTTGCCTCAGAAAAAAACCACCTTAAAAACAAGCAAGAATTTCTGAGCAGAAAGGTAACAAACTCCCACCCTCATTTCTGCAAGACAAGGGTCATGGCTGCCCATCACTTAAAATTACTTCTTATTTCTGATGCAACTATATGTTTATTTGACCAGAGATTTCCCATGGGCAGAAAAGGTGCCTGGGTTACTCCAGGGTGCACCAGCCGACTCACTTGTGCAGTACAGCATCCATGCTGAAGTTCATCTTTTAGATGGTTTGTTAACTTTCCTGCTGACTGCACCTGCAGACAACCCCAGGTTTGTGGGGACCAGGAGAACAGTTCACAGAGAAAATCATCATTGCCCTCTCTCCTTAGTCTTACTCCAGTATCTCATGTTTTGGGTAAAACACCAAAAGGCTGTTAGCCAAGTGAGACACTGGTGCACTTTGTGCATTAGTGTATGTATAGATTTATGAATACACCTTCACACACCACTTCTTCCCCTGCCTGCAACTCTCACCATTCAAAATGTGCCCCCACCTAGCCCAGAAAGCAGAGCTACAGGGTGATCTCCATCACATTGCATTACATTGAGCAGATCCTGAGCTCCTACCTCTTCCACAGTTGTGTTGGAAATCCCGTAGCAACCAAGGTGGAGATCACTCAGGCTGGTATCCAGGGCCCTGAGAAGCCCCTGGTAGGCCCCTGAGACTGTGGACTTGAATGGGGGCAGCACATACACCAGCTCTCCACCAATATCCTCCTTCAGATAAGCCTCTGGAAGGTGGGACTGGATCAAGGAGGTCACTGCTGTGGTGTCACACTCTTCTATCATGATCTGAAAAAGGAGAAAAATGGACCATCCAAGACTGTGCTGGGCTCCATCTGTCCACAGGGATACTGGGATTGGGCTGGATTGACCACTGTGCACTAACTAGGGGGTTTGCAGGGCAGCAGAGAAGAGAAAAAGGCAAGCCAAGAGAGAGCTGACACCTGAACTTGGCTGCCAGCACAGATATGCTCTTTTCCCATGACAAACAGGACTTGCATATGGGTCCTTTTCCACCTTCTCTATTTCTACTGCCAGCAGTTTGGAAGAGGGGCTGATCATCTGTGTCATCTGCATGTTGTTCTGTGTGCTAGGGCTGTAGCAGCACTGCAACAAATGCTATCAAGAGCAGAGTTCCCCCCTCCTTGCAAGCAGAATGTTTTGCCTTAGGCCAAATACTATTCATGGACTCTTCCCATCTGCTTTCTTTCTCTGAACTCCAGAATTCATGCTCTCTGCACCTGGCCTTGCCTTTAACCCTCAAGGAGATCCTGTTCTTCAACAAAGCAGAGCACTGACATTCCTCTTTGTGGAGTGTCTCTGAGGGCTGGGCTGGTGGCCTGGCTGGAGAGCCCCCCTCTGCTCCAAAAGAAGAGGGGACCACACACTCTCCTAGCATCTCTCAGCAGGCAGCAGCAGCAGGCTCACATTCAGAGCCTCAGGAGTTCTTTGGTACCACTGCTGTGCTTGGATCTGTCACACAGCTCCACAGGCATCTGCATCCCTGAACAAGCCTTGATGGTCCCCCTCAGAGCCAGAGCTGCTGAGAGCTGTAGGTGAGCTCCAAGCAAGCTCACAAAAAGGTGAACTTCTGCCCCTGGCTGTGCCTGCTGCCTTGACTGTGCTCATGGGACACAACAGGAAGCTGAGGCCCAGCAGGGAAGGGAGGATAAAAAGGACTGCATCGTGCACCTGGAATAAGAGAGACTCAACTTCAGACCTCTCTCTTGTGTATTAGAGCTGCAAGGCTTTGTGTAGGGGGCTGAAGCTAAGCCTCTGGTGTTCTGAGGAACTCTCCATATAAGTTGTCTTTCTGAAGGGAACTTATTTGTAAAAACAATGTGAATTCTGGCCTGGGACAGGAAGAGTGGGCCAGAGAGCAGAGTGCACTGTAACCTTAGCATCTCTGCTTGAGGCATGTGAAAAAATGGTCTTATTGACAGCCCAAGGAAACAGCCCAGCACCTTCTTGAACCCATGTGGCCAAACCCTAAGGTTTCAATCCAAAACACATCCCACTTTCTTGAACCCATGTGGTCAAACCCTAAGGTTTCAATCCCAAACACATCCCACTTTCACCCAAGCATAAAGTGGCCACATAAAGAAGTTACTCTATAAAAGTGACATTATACTGGAACAACCTTTCCACTTCAGACATCTAAGCCTGAGATGAACCTTCTGCAACATGTTTCACTTGTGTGGAACACTACAACTTGCCTCCTTCCTTCCTGTCATATGACTGACACAGTTCCCCACCCAAGATGCAGAAAATTCAGGACCAACTCAGACACAAACCTTTTTTTTGGTGAGTGTCAGGTGGTACCCATCACCAAAGGTTTCCTTGAGGTAGAATGGGGAACCACAACATTTGAGCCCTCCGTGCTCTAGGAAGGCGATTCGATCGCTCAGAACTTCTGCTTCATCCAAGTGATGTGTTGAGAGAATGATGGTTCTGCCTGGAGAACACAAAGCTGATGTCATCCACCATGGAATAAGCACACAGGGTTAAATGAGACAGGTGAAAGCTACACCTGGATGAGGGGACAGAGTATCAGATGAAAACTGACTGTGCTTTTTTTAGAATGATTAGTGAAATTGGATGAAAAGCAAGATACATGAGAAGCTGAGAGTATTATGAACTGTGTATTATGGTAAGGTTGCTTTTCAAATGACACCCTGAATTTACAGAAAAACCACCAGGAGGCAGCCAGAGTGGCCTACAAAAATCACAGTCTCCCCCAATTCATTCTCTGTGGCCTCCACAGTTGAAAGCTACTGACGCCATACTCTCAAAAGTGACATGAAGCGCTTTGCCACCGGGCAAGCAACCTGTCTCATCACACAGTACCTTTTTTATTCTTGGAGATAATTTCCCAAATACTTCTTCTAGAGCACGGATCCACCCCTGTGGTTGGTTCATCTAGTATCACCACCTTTGACCCACCCAGGAGGGCAATAGCTATAGACAACTTCCTCTTCATCCCCCCAGACAGGGAGCCAGCCAGCTTGTGACGATGGCTGTACAGTCCAGTCTCCTTCAAAGTCCTTGAAAACAAAGGAAAAACAACCCCCAAAGGTTGAACTTCAGGCCAGGGAATCTGAAAATACCCCAAAAAAACCCCCCATAAATGCAAATGAAAAACTGCTCAAGGATGGGCTGTTCTATTGAGTGGTCACACTGCAAGGAAATGATTCACCCTGTAGCTCAGTCACTGCAATTTTAATTTAAAAGCATTTTTTTAGGATGTTTTCAAAGTTTCCATCTGACAAGTCCAGGTTAAAGGCTCAACCTCATCAACTGAGAACACCGAAACTCTGACTCCCTGGGACGTTGTGGCTGCTTCCCTTCTCTACAGAAACAATAAAGCCAGCATCAGCTTCCTGACTGGTTGATTAAATCTCTTTCTGGGGAAGATTGCAAAGTAGCAAGGACTAGACCCTTCGGCCTGTAAATTCAACTCCAAAGAATTGCCACAGAAGCTTGTAAACACCCTGGAGAAGAGATGTTGGTTTCTTACAACCACATATATCAACACTCAGTATTTTCCTCTAGTCAGACCAGGGCATTGTTTGAACCATAGGCAGGGTTTGCAACAGTCCTCAGAACCATCCACTTGAGCTTTGCAATGACAGCCCCTCTTCTCCCTTCTCCAACCCTGCTGTTTTTATACCTCTTCACTTCTTGGTAGAGCTCCTGGTTACTCCAGTGAGGAACTTTGATGTACCCATAGAGCAGCAGGTGTTCCTTTGTAGTCAGGTAGTTAAAGAGCACATTGTGCTGCATACACACCCCCATGCTCTTCCTGATAACTTCTTGGTCAGTCCTGATGTCTTTGCCATACACAAAGATAGTACCTGATGATGTAGGGAACAACCCAGTCAAAATAGATCTGAAAGGGAAAAGTAAAGAGAAAATGAAGTTAGAAAAAGGAGAAAGCCATCAGTATTTTTTTTTTTTTTTTTCACATGGTCTTGTAGACATCATCACTTTCAAAGTCAGAAAGCCACTTTTGGACTACTTTTCATGTGTACTTTTCTCTCCTTCAGCCTTCCCCTCCCCAAGGCAGCCTCCTGCATATCCAACACATCAATACTAATGAATGCCCTTCCCTTCCAGTCTAATCACTGGGAATGCATATCATGCAGTTACTCTTCCCTCCTTAAGCTTGTCTGCAGCACCCAGGTAGCCTCATGTTGCTGACCACAACAGAGACTGAAAACCACATTTTCATCTCACTAACCACATCAGAGCATGGAAGTCTGATTTCACTGCCCCTGTTAACAAGAATTGGGGAAGAACTTCCAGACAAGACACTTCAGAGCAGGCAGCACTCTCATCTAGTTCAAGCAAACAGTTTCCTACCTAGTAATACCTAACAGACCTGGGTAAAACACCCTCTGCTCAGAATAACTGCTTGCACAATATAGGTAATTTTTGGTGCACTCCTACAGGGGCTAAAGGGAGAAGGGGCATCTCAGACTGCCCTTCACCTTCCCAGAGCTGCTTTCTCTCCCGAGATTTTTAACTATCATTAAAAAGGAAAGAAGTAACCTGTGACCTTACACAGGATTTGAAGCCTGCACTAAGTTTCAATAAGCTATTTTACTTTTCTGTATATCACCTTTGTCTACACTTTGTGAAGAGGATATGAGATGAATTGATAATAAGCAGAGATGAAGCACACATCTGTCTTATTAGTTTTGGCTCTTCTGAGGCTTCTATTTATCAGCTTAATGTTGCTTTCAGAGTGAGGCACATATATATCAGTGGAGAAATCAAATTCTACAGGTCTGTTTTAGTGCTGTTATCTAACAACTCAAAGAATAATTTGTAAGTGGCAAGGCTGAAAGGGCTAAAATGCCAGTGTATGAACCCACTGCTATTCCAGCCCAGCCAAGACATGAGTTTGTATGACTGAATTGACTTCATTCAGCTTTCATGCTAATATCACTTCAGCTTTGGTGTGTGCATGAGCTACCCACAGCTTTCAGGACAACCTAACCCCAGCCACCAAAGTGTCAGGGAACAAAATGCCAGAAGAGCTGCTGTGCATTACAGGTATCCTACTGGATAAAAAAAGCAGAAACCCCCTTTAATTCTACTAGATGAAGGGACTACTGAGGTTATTTGTGAGCAGGATCAAACTACAAGAGAGATTTGGCTTAATAAAGCATCTTATTCAGTCTCCCAGCATGCACAGCACCACTTGCTTTCCTTTTCACCCCATCGTGCCCCACAGGATATAGATATATATAAAAGAAGCAGCTTTAAAGGATACACACATGGTTGTAGTTTTCCCAGCTCCATTGTGTCCCAGAAGGGAAGTGATATTCCCTTCATAGAAGTTGAGGCTGAGGTTTTCCACTGCAGCTTTGGATCCATAAACCTTTGTTATGCCGCAGAGGGAGACTCCCAAGGTGAGGTCAGTGGGCTCTGGTTCCAGGTGAGGAGGGGGGGCACCTTGGACACCAAAAGGAAGGGTCAGAGGACAGTTACTGCACTGCAGCAGGGATCTTTGCTGCCTTTTTCACCTCAGAGATAAGCAGGGCTTTTAAACACAACATACAGGAAAAGGAGGTGCCTTTCAGCAAGGAATGTAGAGAATATTTCATGGGATCTGTATCATTTTTGAGCTCTCTGGGATTTCTCCTTTTTGCTTCTGCAGCTTCTAATAACTCCTGACAAGAAGCATTCATCACTTTTGAAAAAGTCTCATATTTAGATGTTTCAGAACACCCAACTTAATTTACACTAAGCAAGCACAGGAAATGAGAGGACACACAACAAAAACTGCTGAGTTATTTTCAGTTAGGTAGAAACAGCAAGCTTTTGTGTGTGAACCCACAGGATTCTACAGGCTAAACAAAGAGCCACACATCCCTTTTGCCAAGGGAGAACCTCTATTTGCTTGCACAAAGAGGTATTTCTACACAGAGCATTGCAGAGTGGGATATATGCATCTAAGGTGGCTGCCCCACCACACACAAATGTGTGAATATCAGTACTGGATTTCCACATCAAATAAGATCAGTGAGTATGATTTAAAAGCCAAAACTCCATTCATGTTAACAGCTTCTCATTTCTCCTGTGCTACAAAATAAGGATCAATACAGAAATTTTCTTTCTGAGCATGGTGCCCCTTTACATACTGGGCATCATTTACTGAAACATGAGTCAGTATCACTACCCCATCTAGCATTCACATACATATCTTGTTGTTGAGGGTGGCATCTTTCTTTATCATCAGCTTGGTGAAGAGAAGGCCTCTGCATTTCCCCTTCCAGAGAGGGAGGTAACTGTTGTATTCAACCCAGTAAGATGGAAGCAATGGGAAGTACCAGGGAGCAGCCATGCCATATCTACCTGCAAGCAGAAGAGGAATCTTATTTAGGTCTCGTTTCCCAGGAAGAATCATTATTGGGGTGCACTCAAAATAGCAAAAATAAACCCCACAGAGATCTCTGCTCATATATTAGTGATACTTGGTAGAGAATTTGCCTGATTGAGACAATAGGAAGGATTCACTAGTTTGTTATTCTGACTGACTTCATAGTTGAAGAGGAGTACTTAACATTTTCCACTGGGTAAACTTCCTTATGCCAGTGAACTGCTTCATTATGTGGGGAAGAAAAGCAGAAGACAAATAAACTGGATCTTGCCTAAGGCAGGAATTAGGTTTTTTAATCAAATTATATAAGTAATGCCACACAAAATCACTCAACTGGCAAACACAGGCTAAGATGGTCTGTTCTCATTTTCACACCCCTCAAACTGCAAACACATTTTGGAGGCTCTTCAGGAGACCCATCTACCCATGTGATAAGCAGAACCCTAATTGTCCCTTGCTCTGCTTTCAGTTTCATCAGTACTGCCAGACATCCACCAAGTTGTACTTCCTTTGATCTAGAAGAGGTATCTTGAGTGTGCAGACTCTTCCTGCCTGATCCATGTCATCAGCCACTGCTGAATTCACTGTTTTCCAAAAGAATGAGAAGCTTCATGTTCTTACCTGGGAAAACATTCCTTATATACCATCCCAGGATGAAGTAAATGAAAGAGTCTATCAGAATGAGCCAGCACATCCAGCCAAAGGAAGTGTTGTCTCCAATCATTGGGGACTTATACATGTTGTCCCACTGCAAACCTGCAGAAAAGGATTTAGAAATACAAACAATCAGTATTAGTTAGTGAAATGTCACAAAGAGAGGAGCTCAAAGCCTAGTTTTGACTGCAATGAACATACCTATGCCCTGTGCCTCGTATCGAGCAATGTACTGACTTGCATAACTGAATGCAGTTGGAGACAACAGACTCTGTGGAATGAACAGAATTAAAACAAAGGAGTTATGAATAAGTCTCAGGGAAATCAAGTCAGTTAACCAACCAAGTACCTCATTGGCTTGGTCCAGTAGCCAGAAAAATTAGTGTTTTGTTTTGTTTTTTCCTCAACAGTCACCAAGAGCACTGGACCAGGCTTATGATAGGTGGTACTTCTGGTCATGGGCTGTAAAGTCTCCTTAAAGCCTGCTTCCTTTTGCTTCCACACCCAGGACCCAACCTACACCCTCATACAGGGCTTTGTTTTAGCCTGTTGAAATACAGCCAGGTGTGCTGCCAAATTACCTGTCATTTCGTTAACAATTTTATCACTTACATTAACAAATGTAATTTCCTGCATTTGGTGACTCAAAGAAAACAAGACTGGCTTCTGGAACCTAATGCTTACTTATTTCTATCCTTGGTAAGGAACAAGGTTTTACATCTACTTCCATGGCTAGAAACAGGAGACACATGAAAATAAAGGAGAAGAGCCAGGAATGAGCAGAGCCAGCCCTCCTTCACTGCCCTGCTATCTGCACTCCCTACTGAGACAGCTTTAGGTTTTTGCAATTCAAAGCAAGTAGCCCAAACTGCTCTGATTCAGCTGGCAGGTGGGAACTCATTAAAATTTCCCAAATACTGCTTTCAGTCATAGGACACAACTAACTTCAGGTCTCCCTCACACAAACCATGGCCAACTCGACATGTCACACGACACCCACTGAAGAAACCTAGAAAGGCACCCAACTCACTTATACTTGTGACACCAGCTATAATAAGAGCTATATTAAGCTATAAGTTTATTGCAGGTCAGTGTCTGCTCCCCCACACGTGGCCCCTGTAACTGAAAAGCAAAACTTACCAGCACGCTTTTCACAGAGAAGCTCAAATGATTCTCAATGACAAGCAACACAATGAAGGGGAAGAAGGTGAGGATGTACACGAGACTGCCCACCAAGGCTGCTATGTTGGTGTTGTTGAAGAAGACACTGATGAAGTAGCTCATGGCTATGATGGACAGGCTGTAGTCCATAAGGTACAGGAACAGGAGCAGTGTGTTTGTTTTGGGAAGGATGTCACCCACTTTTAGGACAAGGATGAGGAAGGTGACAGTGATGAGCAGGAAGATGGCACACTCTATGAACCAGGCAATTAAATGGCTGCTGGCATTAACACCCATCATTTTCATGTACTACAGAGAGAAAGGTGAAAAAAAGAATAAAAAATGGCAACTGTTTATTAAGAGATCTTCTTGCTGATATTGAACTGGTTCTTTTTTTTTCAGTTTCTGGACAGGGCATACAACCAAATCATGCTGTTTCATACTTTGGCATGCTGATAACCAGAGAGAAACCATGCCCTCACATTCCTGGAATCCCCTCAGTTTGCAAAGCAGTCCTTTACAAAAGAACAGCACAAGACAGGATCTGCAAAGTATGAAGCATCACTGCTCACAAGCTCCAAAACAACTTCCAGCCTTGTATTTGTAACTTTTCTAAAGCATTTCGGTTATTTTTTTAAGATAATATTAATTGACCCAGTGGCTTGAGTGTAAAAACATTTAAGAATCTTTGAAAACTAACCTTTTCTCATACCCCCCAAAAGGCAACAAACAATAGTTAAATTCACAGTGGATATAAGGAAACAATATTAATCTTTATTAGCTGATGATCAAGTCCCCAAGACTTGTATAAAACTCTATGTTTGTACTGTTAAATCCAAAAGAAACTACAGGTACTAGTGCCTTGTTGTAGATGACTATTTGCCTAAAAATATAACTGACACCCTGTTCTTGGAGACAGTGACACTGGGGTTCCTAAACTAGAGCAGTGGGCTGCCAGCTAGCCACTTATTTTCAGTCTCATCACAGTTCACACACAGAGTGTCCTTTTTTTTGGTGAATCAGCATTTGTTTCCATGGTACCAGATAAAGAAACAAATCTGCTTAAGCTTTTGTTGCTTGCTGGAGCTTAGTTGTACAAAAAGTTCTTTGCTGCTCATCTCTCTTGACTCTGCTCACACTGGAAACCTGAGTTTGTGTAATAAATTCCCTATGTCCTCAATGCCATTTCTTTTCTGATAGGCAACCTGAATAAAGAACTACTTTTCAGAGGAGCTGATGTAACATGTAGCACCTTCTGAAATATTAATAACTTCGAGGATAGGAAACAAGTGACTTTTCATGCCTTTCTCCCCAGTAGGTATGACTCAAGAGTAAATTTCTAGAGAGCTTTAAATCTTCAGAAAACTTGTAACTCTCTGAGGTCCATGTATTTGCAGTGTTCAGAACTGCAAAGCAATATTCTCACCACTTGAAGGGCAAATGCTCTGCATTTCTCTGGTTTTCAGCTTGGTTGCAATGTCAGAATTCAAACCCTGCAGGTCAAACAATAGGTATTTGGAATATTCTTTTCCTAAATGCTTGTTTTGTTCTATTTAATATTGCACACGAGACCCACTAATGAGGGAAATCTGTTTCTAATTTTGCATGCCCCAGAAAGTTTCACCGTACCTCATAGAGCCTCAGATCTTTCTCTTGAACAAGTCTTTTAACAAAATCAGCTATAAACAGCACCCAGGCAGCCATCAGAGCAAATGGAAGAGAATAGGTCACACTGGTTAAGAACCTGTAAAAAGCAAATGGAGGCTTTAGCTGAATACAAAATGTTCTGGGCATTAAGGCTTTATAGAGAATATTATTCAGAATAATACTTTGGCACAGGAAAAGACATGGTTATACTTCAAAATGTGGAGTATAATTCACAATTACCAACATAAATAAATTTAAAAATAGGCTATTTTGCCATTGTATTGGACTTTCCATTCACGAAACTTTGACTGTTCAAAATATTTTGTGTTTTTTTTAAATCAGAGGGATTTCTAGATGCATCTTGGAAGTTTTGCTCAGCAGCACTGCTAGCAGCAACCACCATGGGCAGTGGCTCTCATGGGGTTAATCCCTTTTTGAGGCATCAAGAGCCAGCCACAATTCCCTATTCTGTTGAGATATATATATATACATATATATAATGGCTAAATGTTGTTACAATAAATATTTCTTAGTGCTAAAGTTTGGATGTGCTTCCCCTCAGAGCCTTGTTACCCTACAGGACAGGAATTGCAGCCCCAGGTCTTCACCATGGGCTTCCCAGTTCTTGGCTCCTCACTTTAGTTATAATCCTTCTCCTATCCCAGATGTGTGCAGAGAAAGCACAATCATGTAATTTCTCCTTTTGAAAAGTAAATTTTTATACCAGCAAATTCACTGCACTGTCTACTTTCTTCCTTGCTTCCTTACTGCTTTCTTCCCTAATTGCTAAACCTGGCTTAAAAAGAAATAATCAGTGTTATTCCTGGGAAAAATGTACAGTAGCAATAAGAAAATATTACATTTGTTTTGGTTTTTTTTTGTACATGTAAAGCTGAAAATTTCTCACACACCAGCATTTCCAGGAAATGCTTCCATGCAATTGAAGCCATAATATGAAGAAGGAAAAGGCACTTCTGTAGCTCTACTAGTTCCTTGGGGTGGGTTTGGGGTTTTTTGACTATTAAAAATTCAGGATTTCCCAACACCACCTGTGTACTGATATATAAATTCCCTCCATTTGCCTACAGGATATGATACCAATTGATAAACTGGCATTTTCATCCTGACTTCTGCATGCAAATCCAAAGCCATTAGGTATTTCAATAATTGAGCAAACTCATGTCCCTCTGAACCTGGGGTGGGCAGGGAAACCTGAAGGCAAGCAATGTTCTCAGCAGCCCAAAACCAGCCAAGGAGCAGATAACACTGTAGAAAATGCTTCCAGCAGCCAGTTATTCACTGTACAGAGCTATCTCACAGGAATAATCCACATATTTGCTACAAGAGGTTGACACTTGGTTGGAATGTTTGCTGCCTGGGTACTTGCAGGCACTCTGCAGGGTGGTGCATTGAGAAGAGATGATGGGTCTCTTCAGGGACAGGGTCTGCTGTGGCTCCTAGATAATCTTTTACTCATGCAGTAGGACCTACAGGCTTTTCAGTAGAAAGAGCTCCCAGGTCTAGGCTGTACTTTCAGTCCAAGGGAGTTCCTTATATCAGGGCAGAATCCAACCTACCAATACTGTTTTGCTGAACATCCTTCAGTGCTTTCTGCTGGACATTGAAATCCCTTCCCTGTGTGTTTCCCATTCTGTTTGGCCACCAACTGCACTCAGGATAATAACTATGAGGAAGTACCATGTTGCCAGCTTTCCAACACAGACTAAAACTGCCTTGCCAGAGGGGCAGGACCTCAGCTGTGGATTTGCTTCTCTCTATGGCATTTGGCAGAGAAGCAGATTCTAATAGCTGCAGATCTGGCTCAAGATGAGTGGAAAGGAAGAGGATCCAAAACTTTCTGCTCTGCTTCACCATTTGGAACTTATTCTGGTCCACACACAGTTCACACTGCTCTGCTCTGTAGAACAGGCTGCTAACCCTGGCAGCTCAGCACATCACAAGCTTCTCTGTCCTCCAACACTTTTGCAGAGATGAATGGTACAATTTAATCTTCCCTCTTTCTTATCCTTCTTAAAGCATCTGAGAGGCACCTGTGCTGAGAACTATTTGCTATAAGCTGAACATCAGCTAGAATCACTGGAATGAATAACAAATGCCACAGATGAATAGCAGCTTCTAGAAACAAAGCTCATAAACCAAGGAGCTCTTTTTTTTCTTTTCTCAATAAATACATTTTCTTAAGTTCTGCTGCACTGTCTGCATGCAAACACCTGCAGAGCAAGCCAACACTCTTACCTAACCCAAGTCCTGCCAGTCCCAGTCTCAGTTCCAGCACATATAGTAAAACAGGGACACCAACCTTCACCTGCTGCAAAACCTAGAGTTACCATCACCATCCAGGCACATAAAGAGCACTGAAAGCAAAAGATTTGGAAAACTAAACAGAGGCCATTTATACTAGATTTCAAAATTCCCTCTTTTGTTCAGACTCCTGAAAAAAACACACCACAAAATGAAGCTACTGCCATGCCACACCAAGGTGGTGAACTCCACTGCTCAGACAAGATGAGCTTGCACAAAAGCACGAAGACAAAAACCACCCAAACTTACATGTCCTTACTGTAGCAGGGATAAGGCATGGCCTGGACTTGAACAGCTATTTCCTCTGGTTTCTTGCCAGTCTGTAGTTCAATAATGGCTCTTTCAATGCTGTCCTGGATATAAATAAAGGCTCGGCTGTAGATCTGGCTCTGGGAGGTGGAGTTGTGTGGGCCCACGGTCCAGATGCGCTCCCTTATCCTATTGGTGGTTTGGGTGATCCTGCTGCTCATTCGAATGGTGTAGTTGAGCACAGGAGGGAGCGCCAAGTCCCCTCCAACTGAACGTCCACTAGGGCTTGAAGGCAGCTTGAAAATGATACCTTGGGAAAGAAAGGCAAAAGGTTTTCCCCTTCAGAGCTGACACCACAGGAGCAGAATGCACAGACAAGGTAGGAACTCCTCATTTTTAAAGTCTTTTCTGTTACAATCTGTCAGGTCATTTCATTTCTTTGCTGCTCAAATCATGTTCAGATGGGTAGGCTGCTTATCAAGGGTCTGGAAGTAGAAACTATACATCACAGCAGCTACTCATACTTTCAAATGTGACCAATGATTCTGGGTGTGAAAAACACCCCCAGAGCCTTTAAATCTTTTCCCACTGAGCCTTCAAAAACCAAAGGCTCTCAAAATACTGGAGAGTGTTGAAAACTGTTCATGACCTCTACACATATTGCTGGGCCCACACAGATTCCTGCAAAGCTGAGACATCTAAGAATGTAAAAGCTTTGCAAGTTCCTGTTAAGAAATGGCCTGTGTAAATCCTGTTTGGCAGGCAGGGTTTTTCCTTTAAAAAGTCTGTTTGAGTAGAGGTAATACCACAAAAGTTATTCTCTCCAGAATATTTTCGCAAATTATTCCATATATGAAGCATAGCATGGAATGCAGGACAAACATGGAAGAAAGCTGCTTTTCTGGGAACAGACAAGTATTTTCAGGGTCTTGAGTTCTAAGAAAAGAAAGTTTCTATCTACCCCTCATTTATGAGGTATAAAATTAAACAGGTTGCAGGACTAAGAGGTAAATCCTAATTGAGGAGATGCTGGGCATTCTTTAGAAAACAAGACAGATTTGTATTGTTTAAATTCATGGAAGTTCCTGTTCTCTGTCCCCCCTGCCCCTCTCTGCACTCTGATCTGAAGCTGCAATCCACTCCCACAAATGTAAGACGCGTGACTGAGAAGACCCAATATAATATTGCAGTGTTTGTCTGGAAGATCTCAGGAGCTTTATGACCTTCTGATAAGTTGAACTGTTTCATATTTAGATTTGATGACCTTGAAGGTCTTTTAAAACCTAAATGATTCTATGATACCTTTCTCAATTAAAGCACCTTTTCCCCAGGGAGCCTGAAAGAAGGCAGCTGTCATGAAGACTTCTTACAGGCAGTGAAATTTTGTTCAAACTGAGAATTAACCCAGAGAGAACACCAGCTCACCAAAGGCTTTCTATACATACATGAAAGGTGTGAGAGAAGGAGGTGGTGGTATAGAAGGGAGGGTGTAAAACGCTACCACAAGGAATCCTGAGTGTGCAGGTCACACACACACCAGGCTGGGAAGCGATTGCTGCGTGGTGGGAGCTGTGACCACAACAGTTGATGGTGGGAAGTCAAACTTCCTGTGCTGGATTCCACCCCCCTGTACCAGGCTAACTTCAGTTTACAGGGGGACACAAGACTGCCACCTACTTGCAAAAAGCTCGTTCTTCAGGAAGAGCTCTTTGGCCAGTGCTTCCATTTCCTCCAAGCTCCTGACTGCCCGGATGCGATTAAACGAGATGCAGGAGGACACGTTGACAGCCAGGGTAGCTAAAGTATTAAGCTGGTCAACAATGTCAGTGTTGTTCTGCAATTCCAGCCGAATATCATCTGGAGAAAAACAAATCACACAAACAAAACCAGTAGCATCAGGACACACAGGGGAAAAAAACAAACAAACAACAAACTATCACATCATTCTGCTCTTTACACCAACAATGACACCAGAAAGGACAAAGAAGCCCCATCATGTTAAGTGTAAAATACATGTCTGCACTTAGCAGGGCAGTGAAGTCATGTTGTTGACCCAATTTTGATGTTCATCATTTGTAATATGTTCATGAGTTTGCCTCTGGGAGGATGCCAGCAATGGGATGTGACAGCCATCCCAACTCTGAAGCTGCTACCAACCTGCTGAGCTTTTGGAGTTGCACCTGATGCTCCCCAGTCACTCCACACCTTATGGGTTTTGATGTGATCAACTCATCTGTTGAGCTGCTCGCTCTCTCTCTCTCTCAGGGGAGATTGTGCTTTATCCAAGTGCAGCAAACAAAAGTCATGTCTGTTGTGCTGATATCTGTGCTAAACCTGATCATGCAGTTTAATACAGAAGCTGCTGTTTCCTGGCTGGTTCAGAAGGTGACTGCACAATGCAGGGTAACTTATGTGGCGCAGCTGCTGCAGGCACCAGGATTTTATAGGGAGTTAAAGACAGGAGATGCTACTCAGGAAATAGCACAGGGGTCATCACAAACAGTATGGAAATATCCTTCTGTCTGCAATAGACTACAGCTACTGCTGGTTTGTGGTGGGCTTGGCTGGCACAACTCAGATTTATGTTGACACCTTTGGTCACTCATTGAAAAAAGGGGGTAGGGACAATAAGACCAGCAAGGAAGTGACTGTGGTGGTCATGCCGAGCACTAACGAGGGATGTATCCACCACCGTTGTTAGCTGATGATTCCCACAGTGCAGATCAGTAACTTCTGACCTTGAAGGGCCATGCAAGACCACCAGAGAAAAGTGAATTGCAGCAAAGCTTCTCCTGCATTGATTCCTCTGGCTTTGTCAGCCTGAGTGCTTTTATCTGAACCCTTGCTTTTCTGCTTTGGAAAAGTTTGAAGTTGAATTTGGATGTGATGCAGGTGAGCTCCCCGACACACTTCCCAGCAGAGTCCCAGGTAGTGTATTTGAAGTGATAATTATGGCTAAACAGTGTCCTCCAGTGGCCGCTCTCAGCTGCAGGGATTCCCGTCCTAGGATCCATCCCTTCAGCTCTCACGAGAAACATCTCTCGGTACAAGCTCTTTGCTTTCGAAGAGTCTTTTCCCAGAGACGACAAGATATGTGAATCACACCCGAGATTGCCCTGAACTAAAGCATCCGATGCTGGCCAGAGGAGAGCAGTATCAGAGGATGGCTACAGTTTGGTGACTCTGGAGCTCCCAGACCTGAGGCACAAGTAAGAGGGCAGCACGTGCGGATCAACTCACCCAGTTTATTTATTTGACTCAACAGTTCAGCTGCATCCAAATCCACCATCAGCTTGATGAAAACCTGCACAAAGGGATTCTGCAGGGTGTTCTATGAAAAAGCAGAGAAAAAGCATCATTCTGACCAGACGTCTCTTGAGTTTCTTAGCATATTTCTAAAATACAGCAGACCAGCATTTGTAGAACCCTCTCCCGCTCCTTTCCTGACCTCTCACATTTCACTCTGTGTCAGGATGGAGAAAAGTTAGCAATGAAAACATCATAGAAAGCCCTGTGAGTCCAGCCTAGTGTTTCTTGGAGGCAAGAAAGGATGCCTATTGAGTCTCCACCAGGCACTAGAGTCCCGTGGAAAAATCATGGAAAATCTTTGTTATTTTAAAAGTGCAGTAAATTTCACTTGTCTCTTTCAAGTCCTGTGAGTACAGGCAGAGCACAATGGGTAGGCAACCAAAACTTAGCTCAGAGACCACCAGACAGATTTTTGTTTGGCTCAATAGTTTATTATTCCACCAGTGAGTGCAGTCAGCAGAGTTTCATTTCACTTTTACATGTTCTATTCTGGATTTTGTCTCAGTGCCATGGAAATGATTATGAATTCCAGCTACTGAAATGAACTTGTAATGGTTTGGGACTCCAGAGATCTCATTTTCCTAGTTTCATAAGAAAAGGAGACAAATTTTACTGCAGAGAAGAGGAAGCAAGAATGTGAAACATTTCAGCCTACAGCTTTCTGTCACCAGACAAGGCTAGGCTCCTTAGGAGGGGAAAAATAAGTTTCATTTACATTGATCAAGGTACAAAGACATCTTCCAGTTCTTGTGTGTGTACCCAGAGCTCCATGCTTATTGTAGCTATTGTTTCATTTTCTGAAAAAGTAATTTCTTGCCTGATCTTGGCTGGCTGGATCACTCCATCAAGCAGAAAGTTAATTTACAAACTGAAGAGTGTTCCCTGCTCATCTTAGCCCTCCAGCAGACCTCAGGAGTATTTCTGCTACAGGAATGGGCAGGCACAGAAACTGTGAAGACCAGGACAAAAGCCTACAAGGGTTTCCCCAGCTGACCTAAGATGTCCCTGTGGTTCCTGGAACCCCAGTTTACTTCAGTGAAGAAATCCATCCTCCCAATTCCCTCTCATGAGGGAACAGGGGAGGCAGGATCTCATACCTTGATCATTGGAACTGTCTGGTTTAACTTAGTCAGTGAATTCATGATGACAGGAGACTTGTCCAACCACTCCTGGGACTTCAGGGCTAGATCAGCCATCTGCTCCAGGGTTGCATTAGACTATAAAAAAAACCAAAACACAACATGTAAGAGGTCATTTATTCATTATTTTAAAGGTTTCAAAAAACAAATACCTTACTTAAACAGGTAAGACCAAATTGGGTTTTCTTTGCATTTTCCATCACACCCTATCACTGTTTGGAAAAGTGTTCCTTAACACACTGAATTTGGATGCAAGGACTTAAAACCATGGCCTTGTATGTGACATTTGGGGAACATTCTGGATCTCAGCTTTCCATCTTCCACTGGCCTGCCTGCAAACAAGTACTGGTTGGGACATATGTCCCAGGAGACCTCTCTCATACTGGCTGAAAATACGGAGGTGAAACTTAATAAGCTGTAAAAAAAAAAGTGTTATCAATATTAGACCAACAGTTAATTTTTGGAGGTACCATTCATTCACAGAAAAAGATGACTAACGTGACCAGTGATGCAAGCAAGCAATGATAATGTTACTAATATTCCAAACAGTCAGAAAATAGACTTCTCTAAGAAACAAGCCTGTGCTAGATTAATGACAATCCTTTTGAGAAGGCATATCCTGATGTGCTGAAAACAGATCCATACCTTTCCCATGATTGCTCGAGTTTCTACAGTATCTGGTGTATAAAGGATCTTCCCAAGCACCATTGGTTTCAAAAAAGACCAAATTAAAGCTCCAGTTGGGGTCTTGACCAGGTCCAGGTAAAAGGATAAGCAAAATGGTGCTGCAAGGGAAGAGAAACAAATTGCACAGAGCACAAATAGACCAGACATAAGATACCAGTGTATTTTTTTTCCCATTGCCCATTTTGTTGCTGTGCCCAGTGAATTACTTCAGGGGCCTCTTCAGTGACTGATAAAATGTGTCTTGAAAAACGCAAGCCACCTCCAAGATCTCCTGTTGCTGCACTCAAGACAACAGGAGTCTCAGTGTTCAAGCCAAGATTCTCTGCTTGAAGGTTAAATAGAGTTTCATGAGCTCAGAAGAGCTAATATTGTCAGCACAGTTGGAAAAACTGCACATCAAGAAAAAGCAGTGACCTGTCAAGCCCTAAGACCAGATCATCAACAAATGGGCAACAGTGCAGTACCAAGCACTGCTCTGCTACATGGGCTGTTTGCCTTCTAACATTGATGGAAATAAACCACCGATAATTAGGGCAGTAGAGATCTGCAGTTAGTGTAAATCATGAGCACTTACAGCCCTCCAGAGCCATATGAGGGAACAGCTCAGCACTGGATCTCTCTGGAAACAGTGGAGTTTGGCTCTGAAATGGTTTTGCCTTAAGGAAAAGCCAGACTTACTGGAATCATGAGGAATCCCATATTTCATCATCATCTCTTGGACATAGGCATCCTCCACAGAAGAACTGTTGCTTACAGGGTCTCCAAAACCTGGAAGCAGGGACTCAAAAAACAGAGGTGTGATCTCCTGGTTGCAGAGGACTTTTGCCATGGATTTAAATGTGCCATGTGTTACCCTAAAGTTGCTTGGCTTAGACAATGCCTGCAGAAAGGAAAGAATGCAAATAAATACACTGAAAGCATCTCATTCTGAGAAAAAGAAATAACAGAACTAGAAGGACTCAACATTTTTACACTGCTTGCTTATGAGAAGTTTCTCTCTACCCAAAAAAAATGGACCTTCCATGGAAAACCTGTTTTTACGGTTAAACTCTGCTGTGACAGAGGTGGGAAATTCATTTGCAGATAGGAGATCCAATATGGGAATTGCCACACATAGGAAATGCCTGGTAACACAGACACACCCTGGTTTACAAAACAGGATTCATTACACAGATGTGCACATCCCTACCCCCATGACTGGATGTGGTTCTGCAATGAGCAGGCAAAGCCATTACCAGAAATGATTCCTGTCATTGACTGTGGGTCAGACTGGGAATGGATCCAGTGCTTGGATGAAGTTAGTGCAACCTGAAGTTATTTCACCTGTCAGAACAGGACTTGGTTTGTAGTGACTCTTGAGGCTTTGAGCATGTTCTAACACACATCAAAGCTAGAGTAAAATTTTGCTGTTGACTTAAATGGTTTTGGATAGCCCCTAATGGGCAATTCTCCAGTTGTCACAAACTGATCCCTACCAGTACACTGGTATCTTTTGTTGCAAGTCTACCCTCCTTCAGGCCAGTTGTTTATCCCCTGCATTTCTTTTTCTTGTGCCCTTCCCTCCCAACACATGTTTCTGGTGTCCCCCTTTGTCACAAGCACATGATGTTCCCCCATTGCTCCAAATCAAGGCTCTCCCAGGATGGCAACATCATGTTTGATAGATTCTTCTTAGGACACCGCTGATTTAGCAAAGAATCATGAATCTATAATTTAATGCAACTTTGGCTTCTAGGGTTAAGAAACTCCTGTGGAAACTGGAGTTTCTGGAAAACTTTCCACCACCCAGTGGTGCTTTGCCTCCAAAACATCTGCAGACCACACATACCTTGGTCAGTGGCACATTCCTGGACTGCCGGAGCTTCTTCAGTGAATGAATAGCTTGTAGCAATGGATCAACACCAGATTCAACCTGGTGTCTGAAATACTTCATTTTTGTCAGGAGGTCTAACATCTTGTCCACGGGTTTCTGAAGTTCCTTAGGAAAAAACATCTACAAGAGGCAGGAAGGAAATCAATTGCCATCAGCAGGAGCCTGTGCACACCCACGTTGTGTTCATTTGGTGACAAAGATTGTGAGATTTTGAAAACTGTTAGGAGGCTTAGGGAGCAGATGTCCCATGGGAAATGAATAGGATTTGTATCCCTAAATTCTCAAGGGGATTTTTTTTTAACCACCCCTCTGAATATGTTCTGTACAGTGCATGTTTCCAAGGAGCTACAGTTGAGAAACGTGCATCAGACACTGACCAGGATGTCATTTGAGTCTCTAAGAGGTTGCATTTTGCACAACATGGATGTCAAATGTTATGAGTGACTTTTGATCTTAACCAAATTCATTGGCATTCTCATTTCATAACTTCTTTCCCCCCCTCAGGATCACTTCTGTAACATATTTGAGTATGTATTCAATATCCACTTCCCTGTGAATGGTATTTTAGTTGTGTGGAGAGGTATATGAATAATTTAGTAACTTGGCACTACCAACTAGATTGAAAGAATATATTTTACAAGACGTTTTCCAGGGCTTTCCTTGACAAGGAATAAAAAAAAAAATTAGCCCAGTGCCTTATTTTTTGGAAAGCCTGAAACTCAGCTTGGAAAGTTCAAGAATTGTGACAGCATCTAGCCAAAACTAGCAAACAGGGAGGCATTTAGAGTAGGTCCAGTGCCTTTAAATGAAGCTTGCCGGTTTACACCAGCTGGGATCCTCATTTGCACCCACACTGTCACAGCATGAAGGTGCAATAAAAATTACTGCATGAGCAAAGCCTGATCTTTGCCTTGTGCAAACCAGTGTAGCTTCTGGCCACTGCAATGATGTTTTATGACCTTTCAGTCCCTACAAGCAAGCAAAGGCTACAGAAAACACTCTCCAAACCCAGCACTAACCTTGTATAAGAATTGGTAGATGTCTAGGTGTTGTAACAGGGTGACCCCCAGGATGTAGCCCTCACGGGCCCTCTCTGAGGGAGGGAGGTTGCAGAACTCCTCTGCTACCCTTTGCAGCTGTGGGTCAGCAGGAGGGTCACTGCAGGACTCGAGCTGAAGGAGCTGAGAGATGAGCTGTGTTTGCACAAAGGAAGAAAGGATTTGTTAGGGGATAGACTGCCCACTCCAGCATGTGTGGATTAATCTTGCCTCACTCTTGTTCCTTCCACAAGGTCATATTTCAAACCCTGAGAAAAAGAACATGCTTCCCCATTACTCCCACTGCAAGGGACAAATCCTGAGGACTATGTGTTTTACTGCCCAGCTTGCACAGCAGGAAAAGCTTTTGTGGCTTCAATTTCTCATTGATGGATGCACCTGAAGTTTGGAAGAGATCATGCTCTTCAGGGCTCAGTCCAGACAAGGTGGTTGGGAAGGGGAAAAGCATCTGGATCTCTGCTTATGCAGGAGTCTGAGGAAAGCAGGTCCATCCCTCATTATGGGGGGCTATTTCTGCACCACGAGTGCTGTCACAAACTGTGGCTAGAAGTCTGCTTTTCTACCTGGACTGCACTGAGCAGCAACAACTGCTCAGTGCTGAAAGCCCCACCAAGGACCCCACTCAGTCCTGATGAGCCTCTTGCAGTAAACAGGCCCTTGCTATGGATCAGAGCAACCACTCACCAGGCAGTGCATGGCACCAGCCACTGGTGACAGCCAAAGAGACCACATGGCTCTTGTTCTCTGCTGGGTGAACTGACATCAGTGCTTGCTCTTACTGCATTTCTGAGGGCTATTCGGATCCATAACACACTCTGCTGTCTGCCTCTCTCTGTGCTGTCACACGTGCAGTGATCTGCTTGGCTGCATTCACTCAAATTCTTGTCTCAATGGCAAAAAGCAACAAAATCTCCCACCAGGATGACAGCAAACTTACCTGGCTGCTGTTTTCTGGGAGAGGTGCTTCCAGAAGAGCCTCAATACTGGCTGTGGACATCACTGTTGTGTTTTTGAGATCCTCTCTTAGCTGGTCCACACTTTTAAATACATCTCTTAGCTTTTCTGTAAAGAACAATCAATATAACAGCTTTCTCCAGACATACAGCAACCTCAGGCCCAAAGAGAGGACTTTAGGTAAAGCATGAAAGCGTGGTACATCACTAAGGTTAACAAAACAACTTGCAAAAATACAGTTGTATGTCCTAGGTTCTACACTCTGATTTGTGGGCTGAAGTTGACAGGTTTAGGGACAGCAAAAGTTGCTCAAATACAAAGACCTGGGACTTTCAGCACGTAGGAATTTTTGGCAGTAGAGAAAACAAAAGGGTGGTGTAGAACAGGCTCTAGAACTACCCTAGATAAAGAATGCCAAGGACATGAGACATGATGTATAGTTATTTCATTAATCCCACTTCTTGGCAGATAAACAAGTCAGAATTTCCAGCAGAAATTATGATATCAGTCATGGTTATGGACATTATGAAGCAAATACAGAAAGCTACCTTGCTTGCTAGATTCTGTTGAATTCTCAGTGACATTCAACATGGAATTCAAAGTAGCCATATACTGAGGAATCTCTTGAAAGACAGCAATTTCTGGTACTTGTTCTTGAAACCTGAATTGGAAAAACAAAACCACCAGCACAATTTGGAATGTGAATAAAAAAGGCAGGGAGCATTTCATCATTTCATAAAGAGAACACTAAAGCAGCCTCACTCAGAGGGAGAGCCTCACCACTTCACTTGTGCCCAGATGTTTGTGGCATTCCCAATCAGTATGTTTTGAAGCTCTTGGGAGATTCTTCTGTGATTCAGTACATTGGTCACAACTTGATTGCTCAGTTCAATAGCATGGAGGAGCTGCTCCTGAGATTGACCTTGTTCACACAGTTCTCCAAAGCTAATGTTTGGGAGATGGCAAACATGCTGCATGGACTTGAAGGTCTCATGGTCACAAAGAAGTGTTGTCAGATCCCGAAAGTGTGAGATCTTCCAAGGGAATTTTGAAAAGCAAGACAAATGCACAAACACCAGTTAGATGAAAGGATTATAAAAGGCAAGTTTTAAAGAGTCCAGCTGTCCCTTTACATTTTTCTTCAGGATTAAGATTTTAATATATTTCAGCTGGCTCAAAAGGTCTCCATCTGGTAGAACAGCTCATAACAACCATTCCTACCCAAGTTTGTTAAAGGCCTGGCTATACCACACTACACAGGACCTAATAAACCTTGCTAGGTTTAACATATTTCCCCTGCCAAACACACATGCACAGCAATACCCCATATGAATTTACCTGTTGACCAGTTCATCTTCCCTGAGACCAAATAAATCTACCTTGTGCAACAGGCTTAGCCTTTCAGATACCACCAGATCATCTCTACTGCATCATAGGGAACAGAGTTGGCTACGAGTCAGGACTTCAGCACCTGCCAACCAGTGTGAAATTATAGCCCTTTGCCTTCTCTGCTCTTACAGGCATCCCTCATGTCCAGCATCACTATTTACATTATCAGTCTCTTACAGCAAGAACTTCTTCTTGTTCTGTGCCTACAAGTACCTGTCACACTGAGGTTCACCACATTATTGTTGCAGATATATTGGACAGCACCAGCATTGCATACTGCTATCTTATTTTTAAAAAAAGACCTCTAAATTCTATTTCTCACACAGTGAAATAGAATGAAGTGCATCTGGCCATGGATGCAATCATGTACATATGGTGTAAGCAGCATTTTATCCAAATGAGGCATTGCCAAATCCAAAGCTAGTGAGGGAAACCCATGAATTAATATTGCTGAGGTGCTTAATTTCAGAAACCATTGTGGTTTGTGAGACATCTAGGGCTAAGGGAACACGTGGGGACTTGGACTCCAGGCATGCTGGTGTAGTTCCTTAGACATAGGAGTAACTAACTTAGTGGTGCTTGTAACTGCCAATTAGGTGTGGACAACCCCACTG